ATTGTACTCCCACTATGCTAATTGACTACTATAAAATAGGATGTTTGTGTAATACAAAGTCAGTCTGGAGGAGAGTCTGGAGGAGGGTCTGAAGGAGAGTCTGGAAGAGAGTCTGGAGGACAGTCTGGAAGTTAGTCTAAGAGTAAGAGGGTCCAACGAAGAACATGGTCTTACTTGGAGAGTCCAAGGAAGAGCACTTACTTCATAAACACTAACTTAAGAGGAGAATGTAACTCTTAGTTAATAATACCTGAGATCAACTATTGTTTAGTTGACTTCTCAATAAAACTACGATGTATACAATAAATCTAAATTAAGAATATTGCATTTAATATTCATAAAACCCTCCAAGACTCCGCAACGACATAACTACGAGATAATCCACGGTGTCCAAGGATTTATTAACCCTGGGACACGACAATGTGTTTACCTTCCATTGGTGTTTGGTGATACGATTTGATCGACGGATGTATATATTTTTGAGTATCTAAAAAAACATTTTTTTTTAATATTTGAATTTGATTATTGATCAACGCCAAACAGATTGAACTTGTTTACCATCAAAATATATGTTAATTGGATCACATTCATCCTTCATCTTCAAATGGTTTTCTGGATGGTCGTTGGTATAGTCAACGTTTGGATCAAGTAAATCGTTGATATGCTTCACGCGAATCAATTTCTTAATAGTCAAATATAAAGGAAGCTTAGGCTCTGTAATCTCTTCCTGAAATTCTAGAGCTTTGAGAAGGTGATAGCAAACAGATGGAAAAAGCTTACAAACTTCAGATGGTTCAGGTGCATCGGAGGCGGCAAATAGTTGAGTATATGCCTCCAAGGATTTGGTTGCTCTCGGTTAAAAATACGCGACCTGTTCCTATACATTTTTCCCTTACATTGTAAACTGCGGGGTTGTCTCCTGTAATACCTCTTTAAAGGTATTATAAAAAATATGAAGAAATAATCAAAATACTTTTTTCCATATATAATCTTATCACGGTTTTGATATGAAATGTAAGTTGAGGACTATCTTAATAATTTGAAGAAAGTTCATTTCATTCTTTATTTTAACCATAAATTATATAATTTAACTGCTTATAAAGAAGATAACAAATTATAGAAGCATTATATCAATATATAAAATTATTAGAATAGCGAATTTACTTAAGTAATAAATAATAGAATTTATAATAGCTTAACATTCCAGTGCCTCCCATATGATTTGTTTGGCCCTCCTCCTACTCCTTGGAGTCATTTCCCTCAGTCTCAGAGCCACATACTTCCCAAATACAAAATCGCTTGATTCTGCCTCCTGTTTCTCCAAGGTGTACATAATTTCTTTTGATTCTGATGAATTTGTTACCTCAGCAGCATCAAAATGGTTGTTATTGCTATTTGATGATGGATCTTTAGTTATATCATTTCTCATCAAATCACTAGCATTCATGAAAAGTTGAGGTGAAGAGATTGGTTCCTCAAAAATATCTATTTTCATGTCAGTTTTTTCCTCCATAAACTTGCTCTCATAAACAGCTTGTCCATAACGCCTATAAACAAATGAAATTAAATAGCATTCATTTATTAAATCTTTCCTAACTATCACCTTCTTCTCTTGACAATTGACTCGAGGAATTTCATTGATTCATACAGGTGCCACATTGAGTCTCCATTGGAACAGATCCTCCGTTCCCTTCCAAACCTTTCCCTCAAATTCCTCCATGCCCTCATACAATCACGAACTGATAACCAAATCAAATTATTTGTTTTATTTTTAAATTATAAATTGACTCACCTGTATATCCCATACATATAGCTATATTATTCCAGATTGCCTCCTTCTCCTCTGTATTCTTGTGATTGGAGTGTTGACTATTGTAGATGCACTCATTCTGTCTAACTAGCAATATCAGCTTCTCTAGGTCCATATTATACGTTCAAGTTTAAGTGTTAATAAATTTCGATTGTTTGAATATCGTTAGCCGTAACGCAAACGTACGTCGCAAAAATCAAAATGGTCGCAAGCTTACTGAAGTTAGTTAACGACAACCGTATATACCGTAAGGCCGTAAACGAAATAAAAATATATTCTGTAGTGTCTTAATACAAATAACTCACAATGCTTTATAATATATATATTATTTACAGAAATTAAAATCACTTTGCGTGTTTATTTTAAATTAATATAGAGGTGACTTCGAAATCTGGAATGTTAATGATGGTTTTCCTGAGTTCGTTTACGTCGCAGCAGTAGCCGTAGCCCATCTGGATATCGTTGTTCTTCCAGTTGACCCAGTCGATCTTGTCGCAAATACTCGTGCAGAACATATCGTCTTCGACATTCTTATCGTAGGGATTATTGATACCAACGAAGGCTACAGCGGCTTTAGTCTGCGGATTGTGGACAACCTTCCAATAAAGCTGTGGCACGGGGATTCCGTGCTCTTTCCCATCGACGTACAAGAAGAGTTCCGTTTGCTCACCGGTCTCCTCGTGCGGCAGAGTTGAGATTCCATGAGTGCCCGTGTAGACCACCAAATCCAAATCCTTGCTGCCAGCATAATCCCTAACATCCATCTCGAGGGTGTTCCAGTTGCGTCCGTTGAAAGTCTGCCATTGCGGAGCTACGTTTACGTAGTAGAAGGTGACACGGTGTTGAATACCGTAAACAAAATCAGCTTTGGCAGTCAGATGTCCTCTGGATAGGAAGTAATCGTTTGAGCTGCTCACGTATTTGTAGGAAGAAGCGGGAAGACCTACCAAAGCGTTTATTGTCTTCCTCTGGTTGTTGCGACTGTACAACGAATTAACACTTGCTGAACCAACATTGTAGAAATCTTCCTCAACGAAATCTGGCCTAGGGTATCCACTCTGGTAGCCTTCGATGTTTTTAGTCAAATTGTACCTGGAGTACAGGCTGCTTTGCATCACGTCATCGAAGCAAATACTAATCTGCTTCAAGAAACGTCCGTCCTCCAACTCGAATCCAGCTTCGATTTCCTTATGCTTTCCCAAACAGGATTGACCGGTGTACCTCGCGTTGTGGAATGGAGTCCTCGAGCATTTGATATCCTTGAAAGCCACCGATTTGCCCAGAATGGTGAAAGACTTTCCTGAACATTTAGCCTCCGCTTGAGACTCCTTTGTCTTCGTACCCTTTACGATCAATTCACCGCCAGGGCATGCAAGCACCGCGACATCTCCATCGTTAAACTGGATCTCATCGTCATTAGTCGGCCAGTAGAAAGCATCATTTCCGTCTTGCTCTCCGGGTTTTAAGATCAGAGTTTCTGGTTTACCCAAACCACCATTAACGGCCACCGTGCATCCTAAAATTTTTATTCGTTTTATCGAGGACAGAAAAGATCACAACGTTGATTTTACCAGAAAATAAAGACTTGGCTGAAGTAAATTGCGTTACAGACGCAACCAGCAGCAGCACAATCAAAGAACGAGCCATCTCGGAAAACACAAAAATTGATCCAGTCGACCCAGTTTATATATCCTGAGCAAAATGTAATCGCCACTTCACCTACATGTTTTTGATTAATTCAAGATAATGTTGATCGCACAATCAGATGTCCGTGTCAATTAGATCATAATCTACATTGGGATGATATGGCGTCAAAGTTTATTTTTGTGCGTCAATTTAGAATACAGGAACATACCACAAATTTGAGTACTCGCTATAGATCAACCGGAATTATTAACTGTTCCTTTTGTATTATTATTTTGAAGTACCCATTACAAAAAAGCTTAAAAAGTTTTCTCAATATTTACTATTACTAATTGTTTGCAAGAAACAGAATTCAAAATATTTACTAATTTTAAAATAATTATTATACACTATATCGCAGAAGTTATTTTAGATTTATATTTTGTATATTGTACTTGATCATGTTGTCCGTTATTTGCTAAACAATTTATGTTATAAAATGCATACGCTTTTTTAATAAGAAGAAGCAATTTATAAAGAATAAAATAATATTATTGATTAGGATATTGATTTATTCCAATAGACATTGGTTATTTTCACCGTTTTCAATAAACATGCTATTTATATTTTATTTATTTACTCAAAATGTTATAAAAAATGTATTATCAACATGGATTTATATCAATATGGAAATAACATCAAATTTCGGTATATTTGTAATAGTATTCCTCAGATCGTTAACATCGCAACAGTAGCCGTAGCCATGCGTGATGTTGAAGCGATCCCACGTAAGCCAATTGATCATGGAGCAAATGTCCTTGCAGAATATGTAGTTCCTAGTATTTGTGTCGTATGGATTGTTTAAGCCAACGAAAGCCACGCCTGCTTTGGTTTTCTGATTGTAAAGTACCTTCCAATAAACCTGAGGAACCGCCAGACCCCTATCATTGCCATTCACGTAAAGGTAGAGCCGAGTAGGAGTTCCTGTTATATCGTGCGGAAGTGTGGAAACCCCGTGCACTCCGGTGTAGACAACCAGATCCAATTTGTTATTGGCTGCGTAGGCGCGAACGTCCTTTTCCAAATATTTCCAATTGTATCCGTTTAATGTCATCCACTGAGGAGCAACGTTAACGAAGTAGAACGTGATATTCTGCTGAGGATTGTATACGAAATCTGCGTTTGCCGTCATATGTCCGCGAGACAGGAAGTTGTCGTTGGATTGATCAATGTACTTGGTAGAGTTTAGTGGGAGGCCAAGCAAATTGTTAATCGTCTTTCTCTGCATATTGCGTTTGTATAAGTTATTCACTTTGGAAGGTCCCACATTGTAAAAGTTGCCCTCCTCGAATTCTCTCCTCGTCGGTTTCTGGCGATTGCCATTATACATAGTCAGATTATACACGGAATACAGCGTGTCCTGATTAACACTGTCAAAGCACATGGCAATCTGCCTCAAAAATCTTCCACCCTCCAATTCAAATCCGGCCTCTATCTCCCTATGCACATTCAAGCAGGAATTTCCGGTATACCTCGCTGTAAATGTAGTGTTTTCGGTGCAATTGATAGCATTGAATTGGACAGTCTTCCCTAATATATTGAAATTTTTGTTTTTCAAACATTTTGCGTCCACCTGCGTATAATTTTGAGAAATGTTGTTGATGATTAAATTACTTCCGGGGCAGGCAAGAACAGCCACTTGCCGCTGATTGATATCAATGTGAGATGCATTCGTCGGCCAATAGAAAGCGTCATTACCATGGTTCATTCCGGGTTTAAGAATAAGAACTTGTGGCTTCTCAATGTCTACTCTTACATCAATAGTGCACCCTGATTATCATAACAATAATTAAACATAAACCTCAAAAGTAATTCATGCTTCAACTCACCGGAAACCAAGGCAACGAACAACAGTACGAGAAGTAACATCTCGGAATGATTAGCAGGGAGCAAATTATTTGATTTTATACAGGATGGTTAGTCACGTGTCCGTACGATAATCTCTTTCATTATGTTTGTTTTATTTGTAATTACATTTCATTACAGTCTTACAAATTATATTACATTACATCGGTGAGTATTAAAATATGATTACCCTCTTTATACTATTCCTACTAACGCCGCCTCCACGTTAAAAACCACCTCTTTTTTTACATATATATTTTTTGTCCGTCTCAGTTAGTATCACAAATGTTCTATTTTTTATTTGTTTGTAAAAAAAACAACGTTGCGTCTAAAACCAATCCCTGTTTTGATATGTCACTAACTAAGTGTGTAAGTAACGCACGGACTGTCTTCTTAAGAGCAGAAGAAATAATATAAAAAGGCCAATCCTTTGCACTCCATAACATACCGTTATTACACGTATATAAAAATAAAGAGCCCATCGCAATCTCCAAAACGTTTTTCGTGCTAGCAATAAATATATACACATATGCAATAGAAAAAGAAAATCACCTCGTGTCTCCAGGTTCTTGCTTCGGTTTGGTTTTATTTACAGTTTCGTCCACAAGGAATAATTTGTTAACAGCATCATCCTGAGTGCGCGTGATATGGTGCTTTGGATTCAATCGCGTTTTCTTTTTCCAAAATACTGTACATATCGATATATAAACTATGACAATATACAAATTACATAAAACAACAACAGATTGTTTGTAAACATTGCACGAAATTTGCCGGTTCCCCGTGGTACCTGATGGCGCACATCCTTTCTCAAAAGATTTAAAGCTCACAAAAAAAAACTCAGTCGTGTAAAAGAAAACGTTGTCGTTAATCCGGTGTAGTGTCAGTTTTAATAAGATATAAATATTATGTTATGATAAATGCACCTGCGATTATTTCATTATTATCAAAACACTTAAGACTAGTAAATAAATCATAGAATTCATTTCGCGATATACATCAAATATATATGTTTATTATGAATATTATTTGAATTTCAATTCATTGAAATTAGTAGGTAGATATGCGCTTGTGAACATAAAGATAGAATAAAATATAAAGAAAGTGATTTGCTTTATCTTTGTCGTGTTGATGCCGAAGAGGCTTTGTTTGCTGGCTAATTTGTTTGTCGTTAAATAATAATTACCGCGCAAGCTAGGATCGTTTAGGAAATTTCATGACGGCATCGACAGTTCTGTGTTTACGATTACTTGAACTATATATCCAGAGGGAATTTTGGCTTCCTCGATGTGCAGCTTATCCCCCAGTAGTTTACCTCCGAAGAACCATCGCTGTCTCGATGACTCGATTCCCTCTTGACTCTGGAAAACATCATCAATATATATTACTATATTAATTATATATAATTTATTTTGCAAAGACGACTGATCAACTTCTTAGTAATAGGAACCATAAGAATACATTAAATATTTGTCTTTCTATCACTTGCGCAAATTATATCATTTTTAGCCAAATTTTCATGAATTCTTCAACAACAAAGAAATCCTTATGAATCTTAATTATCTTTATCCATATTGATATAAATTTTCTTTAATTAAACTGGCAATGAGCATGCTATTTTCAATGAGAGAAAAATATTTTATTAGTTAATCTTGAGTTATAGTAGTGAATTATTTAATGGTTAGAGGCGTTGCCAAACATTTCATCTGTAAAAAGAAATTAATATTAATTACATTAAAAGCTTTGCTAAGAACCTTAAATGTCGCTAAAATAAAATTAATTAAATATTAATAAATATTTAAGTTGTGATCAATTACTGTTTCTTATCACAGTTGTAAACAAAATAAAAAATGTTACAGCAAACAAGTCCATAGTACATGGAAAACCCAGAATCAATGAAAGAAATTTAAAAAAAATACTCTAAAAGATTAAAGTATTAAAAGACATTCATAGTGAAAGGCCATAGTAAAATATGCTCAATTCATCTTAACTGAAAAAAAAAATCTTTGTCCTAGTTTTTACTCTGCACAATTTTGCTAGTTATTAGTAAAACTATTAAAATATATATGAATAAATCATAATTGAAGTTATGAAATATACTCTCACATCTCTGCACTGCAACAAAATTGGTGGAAGAAACAATGTTTACTTATTGATAATTCCACATTTAATGTAGATTTTGATAATTTTGTATTCACTTTTGAACTTGTTTATGGTATACATTGATGATAGTGCAAATCCTATAAATATCTTTTTATCAATTTCCATCAAATTTATGCACAAACAACAAAAATTGAAAGAGTTTGAGCTCACCTGAAGTTTCTTTTTGCACATACTAATTGTGTCTGTGGTGTAGACACTCAACTTGATGTCTAGGCAGTTATTGGAGAGTCTCAGCTTGATTGTGGTCTCTGTGCCACCATCAACTGGCTCTGAGTATTCGGCAGGGGAGTCTCGACCATTGTCCTCCTTGACAATGTTTATGGGATAACTGAGGCAGTATATAGGAACCAGATACCTAGCACCTAATTCGTCATAGCACTCAGTCAGGTAGCCATGAGGTACAGAGACACTGGCTCCATCAAGGATGGCCTGGGCAAGCTCATAGTCTGTTGTCTCCGCGGCGACGGCGGCCGCCCTGAGTGCGTCCCAGATTTCCTTGCGGCCGTCGAAGGCTGGAGCAGTGTCCCAGAACTCGTCCCTCTTGCTACGCAATTGGCCCTCCGTCAACGGCACGTCCGATTTCCATCTAATAGTCTCATGGCACAGGGGGTGATTCTTACGGTTACTTCCTGCAGATCATTTCGATATTCATTTCGTTGCTTCAACCATCGCTGCATAATTATTATTATTACTGCTATTACCTGAATTGGGTCTCGATATCGACCCCGAGGAGTCGTCAATGGCTCCACTTCTACTGCGCGTTATTCCTATGCAGCCACCCATCCTAAACGGCTGCAGGTTATCGACATTATATAAATGATTTTGATAAGGGCTAAATCCGTTGCCATTCTGAGCCCATCGTATATTTACGTGACGAATTATTTTAAATCACAGGTGATGAGTATTGTATGAAGCACGCACCAAAGCGTGACATTCAATTGACAGGAGAATCCGTAACCTACCTGAAGTTGGCTGCGTTCAAACACAACCAATATATTTCGAATATAATCAATTCTATGAGTTTAAACAATTAATATATATCAACGGCAATTAATAATTAACCATTTAAAACAACCTTTGCAATTTCGGAGTAATTCCCCAAAGTAATTTATATTCGAATCCATAAATCCATAAACAAGGTACGCCACTGGTCTACATTGCAAAAATTGAATCAAGTGCAATTAGATCACAAAAAATAGCAACAAAATGCTTCAGGTACATTTACATATTAAACAATTGAACATCGTGATGTTACTTAACGATGTCAAAGATTTAACACTAATTGGTAAGAATTATATGGTCAAATAATCCTAGAACAATCAAAACTTTCTATTTGCAGCTGTTATTTCTACATATAATATGTTACTGCATAAAGGTCAGATATTATCATCGTCTTATCAAAATAAACAGTCCCAAAACGTGTGCCGTGAGAGATTGTAGAGTTTTTTTGGAGTAAAAATGAAGGCAGCCTTCAAGGGGTAAGGATAAAACTACATTTTCATCTAATTGTAAACTGAAACTATAAACCAATTGTGTTTTGTTACTTCAGATTTACGCGGTTTAGGTTAGCGCACAGGACTGTCCTGAGCCAGTCGGCCAAGAGTATATCCACCGCAGGTGGAAACGGATACGAAGAAGGCAGAAAATGGAATTCGGCACAGAACATCGCGATCAGCTCGGCAGCAGCCACTTGGTTGGCATACGAAGTTTATGGTAAATATTTACCGTGGTTTTCGAAAGTTGTATAATAATCTACAGTTTTTTGTAGAGAGGAACAAGAATAGGGTGTTCCTAAAGGAAGCAAAGAACGATGAGGTCGCTATTGAGCCCGGGAAGTTTGTGGATGGTTTACCAAGTTATACCCTGGATGAAGTAGCAAAGCATGCATCAGTGTAAGTTATTTTGATTTAAAATTAACTGGTTAAAAAAAGATTGCAACCGGCGTTGCTACCCGTCGCAAAATCTATGCGTATTATGTAATTTCATTGTTTTTCTCGCGTTGCGTAGCACACTGACATATTTCAATGAAAAAGATTCATTTAAAATAAAAAACAATTTAATTTCAAAGTGGCAAAAAAATATATTCGAAAATGTTAATGTACAGTAGAACCTCGCTTAACGAGTAAAAATCCGGAAATTTTGGAACGGATTAAACTTGTTAAGCGAGGTTCTACTGTATTCAAATAATGAATGAACTGAGCAATATCATACAATTTAATTACATGCGTTAATGTAAAATCAATACATTCTATAAATATAAATTGGACATTGATGCTTGCCTTGACCATTTTCTTACGTAATTTTTGCCAATAATTAAACTTTACACAGCATTATTTTATGTTTAATACATTTTTTTTTTCAAAAAATCTCTATTTTGTAAGTCACTATATATTTATTCAAATTTGTATGCTAAATCCATATTTTTGTTAATTACATTTATTATTTACTACGAGTTTTTTTATTTGGTAAAAAGATCTAATTTTCAGTTTTATTAGAAATATATATGCTGCAGTTACTATATTAAATATTTAAAGCTTCTTCGATCGTGATTTCCATTTACTGATTATCTATTCAGCTCTCGTTGAATATTGCATGACACAATTATTGAAACTACGCTTTTCATTTCACCTTATTACTTATATCGCATTTTAAATATTTACCACCTTTGATAGTTATATAAAAAATAGAGTTTTTTTTTTTACTCAAAAAAGTAATTCCAGAATTGGACTTTTGTTTTCAAAGTTAGGGTAAAAATGATAAGAAACATTCTTGAAGTTACATAATTAAATTTAGTAAATAATTAGTTATTATAATTATTGGTTTATTTAATGTATTTAGGTCATTTAAAACTGGTCATTTATACAAACTTTCTTTTGAATTGAATAACAGAAATTTATCTATATACCCGCATTGGATAGATAATATAAAATAATAATATAATTATGTTTATATAACATACATTTTTATATTCGTCTTTAATAACAACTCTAAATGTTAACGATATTATCAAAAGATAAATAAATGTTTTTCTTTGATTTGAATACTATGAATTAATGTTTAATATGTATATCTTCTTCATTTGTTTATTTATAAATATAATAAAGTAATTAATTGTTAAAACTGATGGTTAATGAATTTTGAACGAGCAGAAAGCATTTTTACAGCACTGAATATATTTTGTTTCATTATTATTGTTCTGAATGTTTATTTTATTTGACTGTTGCAATAAGGATAATTATTATTTTGAAAATATATAATTCTTTATTAACAAATACAGTAGAACCTCGCTTAACGAGCATAATTCGCTCCAAAATTTCCGGATTTTTACTCCTATAATGAATCATATTTTCACATATAATCTAATGTAATATACGATAATGTGTTCCATTTTTCAGTCTTTTTTTAAGAATTTTAAGCGAGTTTCCATTGTATATCGAATTGTGAGTTATGGAAAATACAATAAATGTACTTTTTTATACTATTTAGTGAAACTCGAATATGGGTAACATTCAAACAAGGTGTATACGATATAACGAAGTTCGTGACGGAACATCCTGGCGGTGAGCAGATTCTTCTTGCTGCAGGTAGTTCAGTGGAGCCTTTTTGGATGCTTTATGGAGTACACAAGAGCAATTTCGTCTACGAAATTCTGGAGTCGATGCGTATCGGTAACCTCTCCGAGGAGGACGCCAAAGAAGCTATAAAGGATATGTCAGATCCATACCATAACGACCCTAAAAGGCATAAGATCTTGAAACCAGCATCAGTGAAACCTTTCAATGCGGAACCTCCCTCTTCGATTTTGGTGGACAATTTCATTACACCCAAGTAAAACTCTCAAATAATTATTATTGATTTTATATAATCATTATTATAATGCTTTAGCGATTTATTCTACGTGAGAAATCATTTGCCGGTGCCAGAAATTGACCCTGAAACATACGAACTGGAAATAGAATTTGAAGGAAAAACGAAAACCGTAATTCTGTCTTTGGATGATATCAAGAAGTTTCCAAAGCACACAGTGACCATGTCGATTATGTGTGCCGGTAATAGAAGAACAGAAATGACTAAGATTAAGGCGGTTAAAGGTTTAGGTTGGGGAAACGCGGCTATTGGTAATGCCCAGTGGACTGGAGCCAAATTGAGGGATGTTTTAACAGCCGCTGGTTATGATGTGGATTCGGACGAATACAAACATATTCATGTAAGAGGATGACGATTGGTATTGTATTAACAATAATATCCTAATTTATTGATTTCAGTTTGAGGGATTGGACACTGATCCTACGAGTAAACCCTATGGGGCTTCGATTCCCAGTTGGAAGGGCGTTGATAAAAGAGGCGAGGTGATCTTGGCTTACGAGATGAACGGAGTGCCAATTCCTCGCGATCACGGCTACCCAATTAGAGCTATAGTACCCGGTGTAGTTGGTGCTAGGAACGTTAAATGGCTAGGTTAGGATTTCAGGAGCAAGTTTTCCTAATTCAAGAACTGCTGTTTCAGGAAGAATATTTTTATCGTCTGAGGAGAGCGATTCACATTGGCAGCAAAATGATTACAAGGGATTCTCGCCAAGCACCGATTGGGACACGGTGGACTTCACCAAATCGCCGGCTATCCAGGAGTTACCTGTTATTTCCTCGATTTGTAAACCAATAGCTAATCAAACAGTCACCGTCGTAGATGGTCACATAACTGTGCAAGGTATAAATAACCTATTGCTTTTTTTGAAGCTATGATGCATTTAAATGATTTTGGTGATTAGGATACGCTTGGTCCGGGGGCGGCATGAAAATAGTCCGAGTCGATGTAACAGCGGACGGTGGGGATACCTGGCATGTCGCCACCTTCGACGGCCAAGATTCAAATGACCCTCCTCAACATTGGGCTTGGACTTTGTGGACCGCCAAGATTCCCATTCCGGATGGAACGGAGAACGTAAGCGTATTAATAGATGTGACGTGACTTGGTAAACGTTGTTGGGACTTGCAGGTAGAGCTTTGGGCCAAAGCCGTCGATTCAAACTACAACACGCAACCGGAGAGTTTCAAGAACATATGGAACCTTCGTGGAGTCCTCAGCAACGCGTATCATCGTGTCCCCATCAACTTGCAGCGCGAGAAATGAGATTATTTTCATACATTCCTTAAATAATTAACTATTAACAAAAATAAAAAAATAACATCAAATAAACATCTATCATTTCCAAAGAAGTTATTATATAAAAATGAATAGAATAAAGAGGTGAAAATATGGATCTAAATGTGTACTGAATTGATAATAATTTGAAGCATTATTACAATGATCGATTTTCATGACGATACGTTAAATATGGTTTCGGCATTGGGGAAGGACAATGAAGCCATAATCAATGATCAGACGTCATAGACTTATAAATGGAAAGACATAACCGAGTGTCGAAATGCCAAGGATCAACAGTAATAGTATCTGCATCTCATTTCAAATGATCAGAATGCCAATTGAAATGAAATTAAAGATCGGTTCAAAAACGTATCGACATAAAATATTGAAGATAGCCAAAGTATTAAATTAATACAACAATGTTGGTGTGGATGGAATATGAGTATCAAAAATAATAAGAATTCAACAATATTTTATATAGAAAAAAATTGCTTTATAGGAACTTACATTTTTGTTATTTTACAAACTTGAATTGCAAGATACATAAGAGATCTGTATTTGTGGTAAACAGATCTTAACAGGCGTTTCTAAAATGTGCTTGTACTTGATGTTTATAATTTGCGTGTTTATAGACGTTGGTGAAACTTAAAACAGTTACCAATTAATTATAACGTATATATCTAATATATAAAGACAATATGTAAAATGAGCAGATCCTTCAGAATCTTGGTATATAAGATTCACACGGAATTTGATAAATGTCAAAAATTGAAGTTAGAACGATTCAATTTTTAAATTAAGCTTCCATTGATATTAAGTTAAGTACATAAAGCAATAGCAATATCAAAATTATAAACTGTTTATTACTATTATTATTTTTAATTACAAACTAGATTCATAAACTAAGACTAGAGGACTTTTTAAATGCTATATCGATTTAACCTTGAAAACGAAAGTACGTGATAAATTAGTACGTACTTGCATAAAAAATGAAACCATTTAAGAACCCATTACGTACATCAATAATGAGACTGGCTAATCAATGTATGCATATATGAATATTTGTTAAAAAAACGAAAAAAAATTCCTTGCTGCCTAAATTACAGTGTAAAATAATACCTGAACGGTTAAATTTATAATAATTATAGAACAATAAAAAGATAACCGCTCCCTAATTGCATTTAAACATAATTATAACGAGGATGAATGATTTCGATATTTGTGGCCCATTGTGTTTATACAATCCAAGTGAACAATTCAATACAAATTACAGCGACATAAAAGAAATAGACGCATCCTTAATTATAAGACCGATTGATTAATTATTGCCATTTATTAATATTATTGATTTTCCGCCCTGCGGTAGCGGTAAGGCGCGATGCGATGTGTCGCAGTGAATACTCGATGTAAATTGTGTGGAATATCATTGAAATGGAATCATTTAGCAACGTAATAACGAGAGAATATATAAGAAATAAACACATATTGTAAAACAGTATCTACGATTGGTTGGGATGTAGGGAGGCGTAGATTGGGGCAGCTTTTGCTTTGGCCAGTTCTGACGCGTTCTTCGCGGCGTCTTTCAGCTTGTTTTTGGCGGAGGCGGCTGCCGTCGCGTGATTTGTAAGGTGTTGGTGCACCGGGTACATGCTCATAAGAACATGATTAAATCCGCCGGCCTAAAAAAAACAAACTTTAGATTTACACAAATCTGTGCATTGAGTTATTAAAATTGTCATTACCATTTTGTGGCAATTCTTTTTGAAACGCTCGTAACCGAAAGCGCAGATGGCTTTGCTGAATCCCCTCACTTGCGAATCTATCCACGCCGATCGGACAGCAACAGTATGTCCAGGCTGATTCTCGCTCTCCCTATACACTACCTTTTCAGTTACACTCTGAAATTACACACACATTATGAAGGAAATTTCAAATGGTAGTAGGTGTTACTTACCATAACTTTGGCGAAACCTAAGTTTCGCGTGTATGTCACTAACACTTTGTTCTTCGGATCCACCGAGGACTCTTCCATGATGTACACATGCTTCGTATTGATGAACCGTTCTGCCCATTTTGGGAGAGCGTTCGTCTTCCGTAAAAGTCTTTTAGACACCAACTGATCTCCACGTACCTCCCGAGATATAGTATCTTCCGTCAGCACATGTTTACTGAAAACAAAAATTCATCAATAAAGAAACAAGAAACTAAAGGATATATTGTACTTTATATACAAAAGTTATTTTAATATAATAAAAAGAATAATAAAATTAAAATTACATGTCAACAGAATTAATAAACGATAAATATTAAGTATTGTTCCTCAATTCATTATTCAAAAAATATAAAACTGTAGAATCTCATTAAATTTAAAATATTGCAAATTTTTGCCAATTTTTTGGTAACCTTAACTTTTTAATAACATAGCTGAGTAAAAGTGAAATTTAAATAAAGAATAATATAAGTAAAGAAGGAAACCATTTCTTCGTGTTTATCCCAAGGAATTTCGAATAACTATTTTGGATTTTTAAACACATGTAGTGAACGTAAACCATATTTACCTTCAATTATTTCTTATCTTATAATAACTAATATAAATATAATATTCAGTGAAATCTAATTTTAAAGAAATTATCGGCCTAAGTCTTTTCGCCCAGAAATTATTAATAAGTTGACAATGCAATAATTATTATGTTACCCTTTATGACGTTGCGAAAGTGAAGTAATTCACAATATTTTTTATTAAAAAAAATTGCTCAAATATTATGTAAAAACATAAGAATAATACAAAGCTTGTGAAACTATATTACAAAATCTTATGTAATTATATGATTTTTCATATATTAATCCATTTATTGAGAATAGAATGTACGTATATTCGGCTTCTTAAATAATGTGTTATGTAAACATGACTAATATTTTATATTTTTTTAACTACAACACACGTTCGTTTCATCATTTATATTTTATCATTGTTTATGATATTAATGATTTATTCCTCGAACAAATCATTTATTTGGTGAACTGCAAAACAAATTCTCCTTGCCAAGTTTGCCGTAAAGTAAAAAGATTTAGAGTATTATTCTATTTATCTTGAATTCGCAAAGACCAAAAGTATTCGTAAAACACTTTTGGTATACGACAAAGTAAACATGAATATGGTAGCTACATTTTCAATTACCGTGGAAGCAATCGTCGGCAATGAACAACATGTATTTAAAGCGATAAAAATGCATTTTTAAAGAAATTGTCATACGCATATACATTTTAAAATATAATTAGCCTCAATTTTGCAAATATATGTTACTACGATAATACGTTGATAATATATTGAAAATCAATAAATTTGCTATTTCATATTTAATTTTGTAAAAAAAACTTACATGATCTATTAAAATTAAATTTTTTGTTTGGTTCTTCATCACATTTGAAACAATTAGTTTCTTTGAGTACTCGCGATCAAGCGAAAGTCGCAATTTAATAGAATAGTTACCAAAAATATTTTAATTTGATTTTAAAAATAGTGAACATGGTATTGAAAGCATAAATGAAATAAAAATACATGTCATATTATTACTATGTTATCAAATACGTTTAAATATACGTATTATTTATATAAGTTGTATTTGAAGAACCCAAATAGTAAATATCAATGCAAAACTAACTAATATTGTAAATCTAAAGAATATGCTAACTATTATAAACTTGATACTATAATTCCATTATTTTGACTTATTCAAAATACAATAATTAAAGATTTTACGTAATATTGAAATAATTATGAAAGCCATTACTAGCGATAAGTAGAATAAACACACCCATGTTTTCACAATGTATTAATGCAATGAAGTAATCTATAGACATGCAATTAAATTTTATCGAATATGTATATATAAATATATTTTGTTTATTTGACAGGGGAAGTGGATTCCAGAACGAAACAAGTCCATGGCAAAGGTAATTTCAGGTTGGCTTTGGAAGCGAATCGATTGTTATTCGAAACTGGTAAACAAACCGACGTTGAGGTCGTCTAGGTTACATAACTGAAGAGGTTGTTTGTGTAGCTCGCTGTGCGGCGCACTCACCTATTGGGATTTGGGTATCGCCTCCAGAAGGCCTGTGCCACTTGCTCCCATGAAAAATTGAACACTGTCGTGCTCTCGAAGTACCTGGGCATATTGTCAATCGAACCGCTCTCCTGAGTTGATCTTAATAGCCCTTTACTTCACAATGGTCACAGAGGAATCGGCGCTTTGAAATTTATGTGTGCGGCTGCCGTCGTCGCTGTCTACGATCAGACCACCATCCTAAAATTTTGTAACACATGTTAGTACATACCCGGATAATTACACTCCCTGACTTTACTCGCGTCAAAGTCAGAGGTGTCCTATTTATTTCATTGTCACTTAGTTTTCTAACCTTTTTTCTCACCGAGAACCTAGAGCTCCGCGGAACGTGACCGTACTCGCGTCCGCTACACTAGTAACGGGAATTGACAGATGTCGGTGTATTATATAAACCTCAGATACTGGAAGGATGATCGGTTGCATATATTGCTCTCTGCGTCATTGACGAGACCACTGTTACCATGTCTAACATCTATAGCGCGCTCTGCCGATTATACTACTTACTATCGAATTAGTGTTTTTTTACTCAACACCCAGACAATATCTCTATCAATCACCGATATCCATAATAGGAAACGCATCACCTTTAAATTAGATTTTAACTAAAATATATAAAAAATAGTTTATTCAGTAGTAGCTTCAGAATAACTCCTTAAATTAATTCTTATTGATTTTTACCAAATATTTTTTTCATCCTTTTCATGAATAAATCTATATCATCATCGGTGACACCGATAGCGGCTGCTGCGGTCATATAGGGTACATCGTAGTCATTCGTGCTTGATCCCCAGGCTGAAATTATGCGAGTTAAATATCGAAACAACTATTAGATCCAGCTGCTACATTTAAACTCTTGTCCACAAATGATCTTATGCTCCATCAGATCGATGACCCTCGTCCCAGAAACACTCCTAATATATAACTTGGCGCCGTAACTTCTCAATTCATCTGCTGGTAATTTTGACATGGACATTGCCATAGAGATAGGATTCTGTGGACTTTCCAACAGCCGCTCCCCGATACCAGCGGCAATTTCCCGCAACTTCTCCGATAGCAATTTAAACTTTTCCACTCGCTCTTCCACCAACTTCAAGTACCCACTCTTACCCAAATGCAGCAATGTTATAAACACATCCATGATAGGACTACCCGAGGCTCTGCCTAACAGAAACTAAACATTATCAAATTAACGATCAATAAATGTAATACCTGGATAGCACTTAGAGACAGTCTGCAGTAAGTCCTCGTCAAAACTAGCAATTATCGCGCCACCTACTGGCACCATAAGGTTCTTGTCCGTGCTTTGAACCAGCAAATCAACCCTTCCAACTCTAAATTAACAGTACGTATATCATTGATAGAAGAATAACAATATTTCGGTATACCTTTGGGCCTTCTGAATCCTGCACATAACGGATTTGTCTTGAAGTCCGTAGGCGTTGTTGATAAGGTGTGGTACGTCGAATTGCTTGCACAATTTGGCGACTTCTTCGATGTTATCGCAAGCCCTAGGCGCGAAGCATGCGGTGGTAGTCATCACGCATAAAACTTTATTGGCTCCGACTTCTTTTATCTTCTTCAAGATACCTTCCACATCGGTCTCCAATTGATCACCATTGCGTTTAGTATCAACAACAATAGCCCTACATCCTATAAAAATAAACAAATAAACTTAATTAGAGATATATCAAACGTAATCAGTTTACCTGCACTAGAAATACTCTTGAAACAAGATTTTTGGTCAATTCTAGACCAAATAACTACATCAGCTCCAGGCCTACTACTTTTCAGAGCCATCATGCTAAGCACTAAACTCATACCTGTAGCTAAAGGCACTAAGATACATCTCACAGTTGACTGAATTCCTTTAGAAATTTTAATTCATCATTAATAAGTTCAAAGTTTATGTCATAATATTTAGTACCCATTAGCTTGAATAGATCTTCGAGAAATCTGTTTGTCAATTTATACATCAAACTGGATCCAGCAGCCTTTGGTTGTGGTTCATTTAGATCTCCTGATCTGCCTATGCCATGACCAAAGTTGTAGTGTCTCCTGGCCACTAAACTAGAAGCAACTCTGGCCTCTCTCTCCCCTAAACCACAATTTCCCATAAAATTGTTACTGTCCATAAGAGCTAATTGGCTCAATAACAACTCAATGCTAATATCATCCCAACCTTCCTCTGGAATTTTTTTCTATTGGTTAAACAAAGTTTAAAAAAAAAGCAAAATTATTATATTACTTCTTACATGAATTAGAAGATTTTCTATTTGCTTTTCCCTGGAATGTGAAGCATCTTTGGCAACCTTTACAAAAGTCTTTGGCACCAATTGTGCAGCTAATTCCATGCATTTTTCATTCATACCTGATTCTATTAATTATAGAATATAAATAACTATATACTATAAATTACTGTTATCAATAGATTTTTATAAGTAATCTTCATTAATTTCAATCAATTTTGAGGTTATTCATTCAAATAATGGTACAGTAAGTTATTAATAGATGGCATGAATACATAAACTATTATACAAAAATTATAATTATTTAATATAGATTTTATTATATTACAATTTAACATCTACTATTTATTTAAACTTACGAAATATTATATTCTTTATTTACAATGAATTCCTCATAATTCTGTAACCATTAGTAACCGATGAATCAAAACAAATAACAAATTAGTTGGCCGATTTGTGTTTGGCATTTTAAGAATCTGAAAGCTGAAAGGTTCTAAACATTTACGTATTTTTTTCTTTATATCATGTTTCAAAAGAAAGAGAACGAATGCGTAGGGTTCGAGTCGCGCTGGAAGTTGAAAAGGTAATAACTCCGTTTGTCATGAACATTTTTTTTTATAATTAAAGAGATTTATATCAATTATTATTGAAAAATCTATTTGGCCCTTTTACTACCCCTTTCGGGTTTATCGACGCTCACAATTTTTTGTTGGTTTCTGGGATTTGAACCAACTTTTTCGTATTGGATTTTCGTAATACAGGCGACTATAGCTCATGAACATTGGTTAATGTAAATTGTTATTGTTTAGCATTTCTACCGAGAACTATTCTCAAACAAATGAAATGAAGCCTAATGATGTTGCTATGAATACTCAAGAAACGAAAGAAATTGAGGTAAATATTAGTACTTGCATTAGATATTTTAAATTTACTCTATATGATTTAGATACAAACAGATGAACCAGAGTCGAAACCTGTAGAGTACGATGAACAGAAGTTGGCCGATTTCCTATCGAAGATGTATCCAAAGATGCAAGAAGCTTTGGACGATTCTGTAACAATGATGGATGTGAAGAGACGGGCCTTTGCTGAAGATAAGACGGACATCAAGGTCAAGTTACTGCAGGAAATCAGAATATCTAACGAAGTATTTAAATTGTGATATGTACATTTTTTTTTAATCGATGATAGTTTCGTATAGAATCTACAGATTTGCGCAATGTGTTGGAATTCCACCGGGAATTCTATTGCTATCTCAAGTACTTACGAGCACCAATCTTGGTGCCATCATAAGGGAACTGTGAACGTATACACATTGAACAGGTCCAACAATATATTTGAAGATTTCATAAAAAGGTACTAACTGCAACATTTTAGGGAAGATTTATTACCGGACGCTCCACAAAAAATTCTCCATGCTTCGGCTTGCGTTACTACTTTGAGATTCCACCCAACTATTACGGCCCTCCTTGCTGGAGGTAGTCGTTCTGGGGAGATATTGCTATGGAACATTCAACTTGAAGAAAGCGTAGTGCTCAAAGTTAATGCACACGAAGAAATTGTAACGCAAATTTCATGGGTTAACGATATTGATTTGACATCAAACCCGCTTCTTGCCACCTCCAGTTTGGATGGATTCTTGAATTTATGGAGATTCAATTCGACCACCAATTCTTTGGATATCAAAGATAAGTATGTAAAATAATATAAAATGGGTCATTATTTATAAATGACTACATATGGTACATCTAATTGTACAAAATTGTCACTTTATCAAAGAAGTTTATAAACTACATATAACTTTGATTAGATGATTGTTGATCTACATATTTTTTATAAAAATTATATAAAATTAGATTTTTAGCTTAGTTTTCTTAAATAATAATTGATAATAGTTTAAAAACTCGTTGAAATCTTACGTCTACACTAAATATATTTAGGGTTTAGTATATAATGAGTGTATATGTTGTTGCCTATAGGTTCTCTCATACCTGACTTTCGGGGAAACATACAGAGTCTTTATAACTCAATTTGTCCCTGAGGAAGGTCCTCGGATCCGTGATAGAAAGTATCACCGGACATGTTTCGGTAAGCCATTGACGACTCTTGGGTAGGGTAGGAAATTTGACCTGTGCCTTGGAATGTTTCTGGTATTGGTCATAGCAAAGAAATGTTGGGGTTGCTTGTCCATTCAAATGGGTGGAGTAACAACAGAACGGGGCCCACTCTGAGAGAACTTTTTATAAAGTATTATTGTTTTCCGTCCATTTATTTTTTTCATTTTAAGATCAACTCAATTCAAGTAACCAAATAAGTTAAAAAGGAAAAATAATAACATTTGTGACCATCACATTTTTTTTCTGCGTTTTAAAGGAATATGTGATATGAATTGAAGAATGAAGAATTTGCTTTTGTCGGCGTATTTGTAAATGTTCTAAAATATGCTTTGTTGACATACTTCATTATAAATTCAAAATCGATCTTCTAATATTTTCTGAAACTTCTTGGAAAATACCAAATGAATTAAACAGAGAAATATTACTCATTTTTTAATACGTTTCTATAATTTCATAGTACACAAAATATATTATTATTATAGTTTCATGAATTTCTAATTTACTTAAAATCATAAAACGCAGAAATACAAAATTTTAATAAAATAAAAGTTGATATTTTTTAATTTTATTAATAATTTTTATTGCAGCAATCAAAAACAAAATTAAACAGTTTCATTTACTACAATATTAATAATAATAAAACAAAAATATTAACTATTTAATTTTTTATATAAATATATTTTATTTGTATAATTATATAATTAGAAGGCCGATATTTCAAAATAGGGCAACAAATACGACATTTAATTTATGTGAAAATGAAATGAAATACCATGATTCTTATATATAATTAATTTCTAGATATAAAATAAAGTCTCCGCTTTTTGGAAGATTACAAAGGAAGAGCGAGCTACCGCTAGATATTGCGAGGAAGGTAGATAGAGGGGTGATCGGCTTCGATTTCTCCAAATTCGAGCCGCACATGTTCGTGGTCGCGGCAGAGGGTGGATTAGTGGCTCGCTGCTCAATGCTTGGAACTAAGACCATAAAAGGGTCCGCCGGCGACTGCCCAATATCGGACCCCGTGTATAAGTACTATACAGCACACGAGGGCGAAATTACCACGATCCTCTTCTCCCCGAACCGCAGGGAAATGTTTATGACTAACGGATCAGATGGTGAAATACGCATCTACGTTCTCAATCAGGTACGAGAAAGAATTGATTTGGAATAGGAATTTAACCGCGTTCACTTTTAGGAAGAGGCTGCCCAAGTAATTTTCATCGAGAGTCCAATAAAGAACGTGGCCTGGATTCCGCATGAGGAAAAGCTGTTGGCCGCATGCGGTGTCGCCGGTTTCATCGAGATCTTCGACGTTTTGAAAGGGAAGTCTGTGGATTACAGCATCGACGAGAAGTATGAGAAATCCGTCATGAATCTCATGGAAATCAACTCGAGACGCATCAATACTGTTATAGTTGGGAGCGCAGAAGGCATACTGCAGTTGTGGACCATACCGTGGCATCTGTATTCGCGGAAGCCTTGAGCATATTTATTTTTATTGTTATTTTTAGCATTGGTTTACGTTATTAAAAACGAACCATCAGAATACCTAAAATCATTCATTCCAATACGTTTATCTGCCGTGTATCGTTCTAGATAAGCGTCTCTTATCTAGTCTCAAATATACATACCATTATTTTCATCGAGTCTGTGTAACTTAATCGCTCGGTTAGGTGTTAGGATCATGTTCCAAATAAGTAAGTTGCTCAGGACCAAGTGTCTTTCGGAAGTTTGCAAGCGCGGTGCGAAATGGTACCCAGATTCGGAGTACTTCAGCCAGTTCGATGGACCCGTTATGTTCCCGACCCCTGAAACGAAGGATCTGCCGATGTACATGACGAATAAAGCACCGGTGGTCGAGAAGAAGGTGACGAACAGCTTCATCAACTTTGGTCCCGCCCATCCGGCCGCTCACGGAGTCCTACGACTGGTGATGGAGCTCGAAGGAGAGGTTAATGTGCTGCAATTACATAATAAACAAACGTGCTCATCGTGTGAAGGTATTTCTAGATCGTGAAGAGCCTGGATCCGCACATCGGACTCTTGCATAGAGGCACCGAGAAGCTTATAGAGTACAAGACGTACTTGCAAGCACTGCCGTACTTTGATCGTCTGGACTATGTCTCTTGCATGTCCAATGAGCATGCTTATTGCATGGCCATCGAGAAGTTGCTCAACATTGACGTTCCAAGAAGAGCAAAGTTCATCAGAGTACTGTTCCTGGAGCTGACCAGGTTGATGAATCACAGTCTGGGTATCGCCACGCACGTCCTCGATATTGGCGCCATCACTCCTCTCTTCTGGCAGTTTGAGGAGCGCGAGAAGATGTTTGAGTTTTACGAGAGAGTTTCTGGCGGTAGAATGCATGCGGCTTATATCAGACCGGGAGGCGTACATAGGGTAACATTGCAAAACGGATACATTACTAGAGATGTTAGCACTCGCATTCATTCTTCAGGACCTGCCGCTCGGCATCTTGGACGATATTTATGATTTCCTGACGAAACTCACCGAGAGGTTGGACGAACTCGAGGACGTTGTCACAAATAACAGAATCTGGACTCAGCGAACCAAAGATATCGGTATTCTTAGCGCCGAAGATGCCTTAAACTATGGATTTTCGTACGTAAAACAACTATAAACTAAAGTTAATCATAATGTTATTACTTTCCAGTGGTGTTTTATTGAGGGGTTCTGGTATTAAATGGGATATTAGGAAAGTTACACCTTACGAAGTTTACGATGAGTTAGATTTCGATATACCAATTGGAGCAAATGGAGACTGCTACGATAGGTATGCTATATTATACTAAATAAAACTGTTAGATTTGTTAACGACTAGATTAAATGTAAGATACAAATGTCGCTTGGAAGAAATGAGGCAATCTATAAGGATCATTGGGCAGGTCCTTAATATGATGCCTGAAGGCGAGGTCATGTCTGATGACAACAAGATTTGTCCTCCTAGGAGAGCAGAAATGAAGGTTTCCTGAAAATACTTTTTTTTGTATAAAGCAATATTATAACAATAATAAATTTCTAGAAATCTATGGAATCTACGATACATCATTTCAAATTGTTCTCACAGGGATTCCAGGTTCCCCCCGGCTCTACCTATACCTGCGTTGAACATCCTAAAGGTAAATAACATTTAATTATAGTTAAAAATATTTGCAAGTGATTTTTAGGTGAATTCGGAGTGTATCTTGTGTCCGACGGTACGTCGAAACCGTACAGATGCAAGATAAAAGCACCAGGATTTGCACATTTGGCCGGAATTGATAAGCTGTGCAAGAATCTGTTCTTAGCCGACGTTGTAGCCGTTATGGGTAATCGAATTGATCAAAACTTTCGAGAAGAGATATCTAAATATCTTATTTTAGGTACATTGGACGTGGTGTTTGGAGAAGTAGATCGCTAATTTTTTACAAAGCTCCTTCAAAATCATGAGTTGGGGGAAGGAACTAAAAGTCAAATGCAACGGATTGTATAATAACATGGTTTTCGTTTCTTTATTTACATTTATATCGGGGTAAAGAAATAAATAGGAGGTTAAACAGGAAAAAATTCTATTATCAGTACATTCTTATGACTAGATTTTCTATCTTTCATTATTCAACATTGTGCTTCGCTTTCACACGTTCTTTCAACATCCGCGCATACAAGCATAAACACATGCACTCACCAAAAACTCCACTTTCCTAAGAAGATGTCACCTGAAGCGTATAAGTATTTTTTTCTTTTGTACAAAACTGAACGCCAACAAAATAAAAAAAAACGAACTAACTGGTTCACAACATTGGTCTTAAGAAGTGGAGTTTTTCATCTCCTCGCATACATATTCGTTTGTGCAGTTTTTTCCTTTCACACTCTTTTAGAATGACCGATTCTCTCTAATGTTTGACTGGCCAGCGCAAGTTAACCCGAGGAAACTAGAAATTCCCTCTTACAATATTCTTTTTTTTTTTACAAAATAATATTAGGACAATGACAGTTATAGTAATAATAATAATATAGTTATAGTAAAAAAATACACCTCCGAGATAATAAAAAAAAATATATAGGGAAACATTACTAAATAGTAATGGTTCGTTGCGTTGTCGCGCCGCATCGGTAATTCACAATAATAATAACAAAACAAGTTAGCTGTGGCGGCGAGGCATCGCGACGATTGATCATTTCTTTGTTCATCGTTCACTTAATAATAATAAAAAATAATAATTAATAATGAGACATAAATAAATATTTTTAACTGCACCGCGCAGCTGACTAAGTGTTTCACTTTTGTAATTCAAATTTTGTGTGGTTTGTCATCTCTCCTTTTCTCACTGATGGGCAGCTTGACTAATTGGCTGCTGCTTCTCAATTCTTTTTTTTTTCATTCTTTTAAAAAGGACCGAGCCGATCCGAATGACAGCAACGAGCGCCGATTCAGATCGGACCGGCTTCTTTGGTTAACTTACAAAACAAAAACAAACAAAAAATACAATAATAATAGTTACCTTAAATGACTAAACTTAACCGTAATATATATAAAAAACAAACTAACAAATTGGACGACATAGATATTTCTGTATATACATATATAGTATGCATGTGTATATATATATATACGTAATATTCCACACTTTCAGTCTTGAGATATATTGAACGAGAAACAATATCTTTGTAAATCGAGGCTGGTTTTTAGGTATATCTACCTGGTTCATGTCTTGTAGTTTTGAAATAGATTTTTCATTCTCTTGGAAGCACTTTTCGTTCACGACAAAAAATAAATATCTTTGTACTTGTGTTTTTTTCACTTTTGAAAAGAATTTCTGTTCCGCAAATAAGGAAAAACTTTAAATCAGGCTCCTTTTCTCTCTGGTTTCATGCTGTTTGTTTGTTATTGTTGATGCTGATGATGTTGTTATGTGTAACTACTTGTTCACGATTTGTAAATTCTGATAACGTCCCTAATGACAGCCCTGCAGAGTGGGCAGTGGCCGCCTCCCTTGCCGCGCCACTGTTGGAAGGCGCACTCGTAGCACATGCACATGTGTCCGCACATATAGAGAACTGCGTCGATCTGCTTCTCGTAGCAGATGGTGCATTCGGCGCCAGCACCGAGAGCCGCATTATTCAGGTCCACCCAAGCTTGTTCCGACATGTAGTCCGGCGTTTCGGCAGTGGAAATTGGCTGGAATTGAATAAAAGAAAAACGTTAGATACTCGTTCAACTTTAATGCATAATATAGTGTGCATAAAAAGTTTGCATAGTGTAGATACTAACCTCAATGTATGTGTTGCTGCAGGTGGACATCATAGTGCCGGTGGTGGCGTTCGAGCTGGCAGGTTGAGCTGGATTCGTTAGCTGAAGTTGGGCATGTGTGGTAGATGGGGCGAGAATATGATTTCCTGGATAACTAACGTGCTGACTAGGATGACTGCTTTGACTATTCACAGAGATTTGGGATGTGTGATGAGATACTGGTACGGAGGAGTTTTGCTGGTTGATCAGGTTGGCGTGCGATGGGGGCAGGATGACTGAGAGGACAGTGCCGCCGTTGGCGCTCGGCTGCAACTGAATGTCAGCGGGAGCCAGGCAACACCTGGAGCTGACCTGAGGATGTACAGAGTTCCGACGCAACTCCGATTGACTGTTCAAGCTGTTCATTGACTCGGAGTTCGATGGGGTCATGATCCTCAAGGGATTCCTGGTCGGCGTGGTTGGTGCGGTGTAGCTGAGAACGCGGATGCGACGGGTGGAACCGTAAACATCGAAGAACGCCCACAGCTTCAAGGTTTGATCTACGTGGATGACGACGGCCGGTGGTCCGCCGTTCTTGCTGATTTGAACTTCACCGTTGGCCGAGATGCAGAAACTGATCTCATCACCAACGTTCAGATTTCTGGCAAAGTCGCGACTAATCACCCAATATTCGGGTCTGTCCAACAGGAAGTTCGAATCATCAGGTAGATCACACGCCTGAAGCGTAGCAGGATCGCAGGACGTCAGACCCAATCCCAAACAACCTTGGAACACTGGCTCGGTAGACAGAATTTGAATGACCATTTTCTCCCCCAACTGAACAGGTCTTCCGGTGAAGACGTAGCCCTGGCAGAATTCCGCATCTACCCTGGATGCAACACTTCTGTTGCTGTTGAATCTGATATTGCTGCCTCTGGTCCTGTGCAACGCTACTGGATTGTAATTCAAATGCGCCGGTTGGTATCTGAGGACTGGCAGGTTGAGCTCTTCGTTGTGGATGCTCACATTTTGCATGGGGTACACAATTCTATCGATCTCATCCGGAGTCGTATTATCCACTGTATTCCTCCTAGAATTGTTCAACTGGTGACGGATATCTACGAATTCAATGCCCGTGGAGTTTCCGTAGACGTCTATCAGTGCCCAAAGTTGTCCTCGGGTCTCGACACCGCTGAAGAAAATGCCCTTCTCTTCGCCGTTAATGCCGAAGTGCACGTCGCCTGCGGACGTCACGTAGTAGAAGAGAACTGTGTTCTGGTTGGCATAATGTTCCGGCAGGGCCTTTGCCCAGTTGCCTGGTTTGTTGGTTAGATCGGGACAGGCATATTTCGGTAGGTTGTGTTGCAGCGTGCTCGGATTGTTGTATGTGAAACCGAACCTAATGACGCCGCTCCAATTGTTTGACACCTCCACGAATTTAACGCAAATCTAATTAAGAAAGAAAAATTGAATATTAGCACATGTTGCTTCGGTTTGAGGTTCGATGAGAGTACATACCTTCTCGTTGACTTTGACGGGACGCGCGCTAAACGCGATTCCCTTGCAAAAGCTCTCAGCACGTTTGGCGACGGTTCCGTCCCTTGAGATGCGGATGTTATCACCGTGCACATTGTGGAATAGCAACGGGGGCAGGTTGTTGGTGCAGCCACCATTTGAGCTCGATCTTGAAGCTGTAAGAAACAATGAAACAAATGTTAGCACCAGGTGCGACGGTTTGTAGAGAAGGGTTCATTTTCATATTCCCATAGACCGGGGCTGGAAGGAGGGAGGGACCAGGTGGGTTATTCGCAAAGACCCTAGTTTTCGTGCAACAGCTGGTTGCCAGCGGCGGAAAGCAGGTAAAGCGCTTTTTTTCCTTCTTCCCCCAGGGGTGGAAATAATTAAAAGCTCCAGGAACAATGCGGGTTTCCGGTATTCGAGCACCGGAAACGAGCGTACGCACGTGTGCTTCTTTCTTCATCTTATATCCGAGATGGAAAAGGAGAGACAGAGAGAGAAACTGCGTGTGCACTAGTGGAGAGTAAGATTACACGTCCATTGTTGAGGCGAGCAACGGACCGGAAACGGAAGCGGTTGCGATTACAATTGTAACAGAATGTCGCGCCGCGTACACATGTTCCACTTCGCAGGCCGCTACACCAATGAGGGAGGATGAGTAATTCTTTTGCGTCAAGTGCTCCAGTTTCCCACCGGGGCCTTATCATCCCCTATGCGAAAAGAGCCCCCGCGGGATTAGAAATTCATTAAAAAAAATTAAATTGACTAGTCATAATAATAATAAGTGAAAGAAGACGAGACGCGGGCGTAAAATTATCGGAGCTGTGCAAGAAGAGAGTTCCGTGTGGTTCAAGACAGGTCAATAAATCTCTCGATTCTCTTTGTGAGTCCGTGATTCCCACGGTTTTTGCAACCGGTAAGGTAAAGGTGAAGAAGAAGAAGTAGAGGAGATCTTCTTCGTTGTCCGCCGCTCGACAATTATTCAATTCAAAAACTGGATTTCTTTTTTCCTTTTCATTATGCAACCTCCTCTCGATTCCCGCTGTCGATTGCGGATCAAGATCGCCTCCGAAACGGAAGCATCGAATTCAATTTGCGCCAATTGATTAATCGACAGGCATATTAATCAAGCAACGGCGGGACGTCGGTAATTGCATCGGACTCTAATTGGCAATTATAAATTATTTAAGGAAGCCGCGTGAGAAGTATCGGTTATAACGAATAAAATCGTTGTCGCGATTCCATGTAATAGCGAGGAGAGAAGAAACCTTCTTACTTTTTACCAGACGTGAACGAAATGAAATGTTATTTATTTCATTTATTTATTTTTTTTCTTTAGTTTCCCCGAGATGCATTCGAAATAATAATTACGGAGTCGTGAGCCTTTTAACAACGCGCGGCCCACGGTATGACTGCTTCGAACGCGTGAGAAACTAAAAAGGAACGAAAGAACGAGCATATTTGGGACACGGTTCCCTCCTATGATGCAATGTCGGCTTTTTCGTTAGGTCGCATCAGCGGTGTTTTCGAAGGGGGTGGAAACAAAGCAAAACGAAACAAACAAAACAGAGAAAGAAAAAAACGGTTTTTCTTGCGAGAGACCGTGGGGACAACAGCTGGTGCGGTGCGTAGTTGAGGGGTTTCACCCCATACCACTGATCCAGTTTTTCCAGTCCTTTGAGACCTGGGAACTTCTTGACCGGGTGCGAGGGGTTGGTTTGTCTGTTGCAAATGTTAGGTCTGCTGATATAACGTCGGTGCGCTGAATTATTCAGGATCTAAGAGGTATGCTTATTATTTGATCGATAAGCGATCGAAGTTAGGGCGCGCGGAAGATGTTTGATGATGAATGTGAATTGTTGGATGGATGGCCTCTCGTCAAAGTGCCGGTAGGTAGGTATGTTGGTTGGTGTGTGAGAGTGTGTGTAGAAAGTCTTGGACGCGCGAGAGCTACCGTAGGTAACCGTGGGAAACGGCGCGAGTCGTGGCAGAGAACTTAGCATTTAGGTAACGTTCCATTCCGTACTTAATGACTCACTCAATTAGAGTGAAGTGAAGAGAGGAAGGCCGCGACGACAAACTGCTTTCGAGGATACTAACCTAATCCCATGCGCTTCTTGATCTTCTTGAGGACCTTCATTTTTCCTTTGAGCGGTGCGAATATGTTGCTGCTGCTGCTCTCACTTTTAACTTTAACGTTATTATCCGGTTTGCAATTGCAACTGTTTTCTTCCGTTATCCCCATTAAGATTTCGGTTTTCCGTTTCGGACGACGACGCGCTTTTTTCCCTTTCACTACTAATAACGAACAACCACTACTAATATCCCATATACATGTATGTATCGATTGTGCAGATTATGTCTTCTCCCGCGATTTGATGATGATGGATCCTCGATGTCTTTTCGAAGACCGGAAAACGCGACGCGAACGGCAAGTTACGGGGCTGCGGTTCCTTGGTGACGACGTGCACAGTTCGAGGTCGAGTCGTCAACTAAAGCTCTGACGGCGGCGTAAAGCTTCAAGTAGGGCTCGGAGGACTTACCCCCTCCAAGATCGCCAGCTGCAGACACGAGTCTTCGGCCAATGAGAGCTCTGCCACACGCCTGGTGCCTTCGCAGCCGGTTACAACAGATGCGACACCCCGGCTTAAATTACCTGTGTTTACCTCAGCATCGATGCTGATGCCCCTCATCCCCCCTCGCGGCCTACCCTTACCTGTGCTTACCAACAAACTCACTCGCGGTACGATATCACGATGTTTCTTCATCCCATGGAAAAAAGAAAAACTCATATCGACGAACACCGTCCGTTTTCCCAATCGATTTTCGCCAATAGTTGCACAACGCGACGCGCGCTATTTTCGTAACGCCATTTACCCAACCAGTCAACGTTTCCTTCTGTTGATCCTCCCGGTTCCGCATCGTAGGATAGACACGCGTCACGTCCGGAATTCGTAGGATGCGATTTGATAACATTCCCTTTTGCACTTCTCTTTTTTCAAATCGATAGCAACAGCAGCAGCAGCCTGCCTCCACTCGGATCTCCACAATCCTAATCCTCCGCAACCGGGCCAAGAAACTCGGCCAACGAAATCAATACCACCAAGGCTGAGGATCTTCTCCACGCATATTCCCCTTACATAACATTTATACTTCCATTATAACACATTAAATATCAGCAAATCAATTTAATGTATAAATATTAATTATTTTTTTGAAACATTGGTAACACTAGTAAGTTCAGCTTAAACAATTTAAGTTTAAGTAAGATTATCTTAAATAAAGTACAATGTATTTTTTACATTACAAGAAAAATATATAGAGATACAAATAAATAGTTGTCCATGTCAAATATTTAAAAACTCTTTAAAAATAATCAAATTATAACTTAAAGTAAAGAAATTATACTTTAAGTTTATAACTAGAATCATTGTTTTTTTTATATGTTATAATTAAATGGTCTCGTTGACTAAGATTTACTTCCAGTCTACTAGTATTAATCTTTCTAGGTACAGATACTATATAATAGCATCCACGTTAAAAGTTCGTAGACCTTAGCTAATTAAGTAGTCTTTAGAAATTAATACTTAAAAGTTTCTTTTTATGTTTTTATAATTAATAAAAGCTAAGCAATTCATATATTCGGTGATCTATACTTTTTCACAAAAAATGGGAATTGCAGAAAAATGGATGACATTTAGAACGAGATGTTTTTCTACACATACGCATTCTTCAGTGGTCCTTTAAAAGTTTGAGAAACACTGATCTATATAATAGAGATTTGCAAAAAATATAATTAGTAGTAAGTATTAGTAGTTAGTGTAAGATCCAAGTTATATTGAAGCCATTGGTAGCATTTATAATTAATTTATTTAAAATATTACGAATTTGCCATAGAAACGATCTAAATTATTGATATTTTTGATATGCAGTAGAATATTATGCTTTTATAAAACTACAAACTGCATCTAGTGGAATGCACAATTTCATATGCGACATGACACATTCAAAACTTGATGGAGTGCACGTACATTTGTATGTACTGTGCGTGTGCAGAGTAGACGGTTCTTTGAAAGGAAACGAGGGGAGAGCGGACATAAAAGGATCAGGATGAGAACGAACGTTCATACGTATAAATATATTTCGAGATAAAAATATGCCCGAGGGGAAATTACTTTGCACGGTCTACGTGCAAGCTCTTCCTGCGCAACAAGTCTGCAGTTGACGAAATCAAATTAGATCCCTCTTCGATGATCTAAAACGCCATTGTCATCATCGGCTAAATTCAATTACGTTTCCCCAATGTATTTACAGCGCTTTAATGCATCGTAATTGCTGGAAATGCAGCAGTAATCAAATTGAAATTATTTCCGATGAAAGTCGGAAAGCACTGCACAAGATGTAATCGATTAAATTTGTAAATGGAAATACCTCAGCTGATGTTTTCAGTACTTAGGTGGATGCAGGTAAGTCAGGTTACACAAGTTATACTGTTAGTACTTCTTTTATCATCTTTTTTTGAGAAGGCTTTCTATGAACGATTTAAAGGTCTCTCGGCTTGGATCATATGATCGGAGCACTTCTTGCATCAGGGGGTGTGTGTCCCTTTAAAAATTTAAAAGGACTTTTTTTCTTCTTCAGCTCCAACAAGAAAAGATGAACCTGGACGCGTGCATTGTGTCCGCGTTTTGCGAAAGCCCTTTGTGCGGAAAAGCACGTGTGCACGTTACCCATGTCCGAAGAAATAAGGCGAACCGAAGAATCTTCAAATATTATTGTTGTAAAACTCTAGATTTTAGAGGAGCGCGAAAACGCTATATAGGGGAAAGTCTTATCTAAGCTGTGTTTGACTTGCTACATAATCACAGCGAAACGGTGGGAAAACCGCTGTGATCGAACATTTATGAGCGACAATCGCATCGGATGAATTACATGTGAATATATATAGAGATAAATTCCTTCATGGTCAATTAAATCGAACACGTTTACCAACGCTCAGATTATTGCGTCTTTCTTCACGTTGCGTCGGCGAAAAGGGACCATAAATCGCGGGCAGATTAATTAGCGAATCCCTTCTTCTTGTGGAGAGGAAGCCTTTTGTTGACTCAGAATCGGTCCGTTCATCATCAATCATGCCCTGTTTTCTCCATTGCCACGTTTTAATGAGTCTTGT